GAAGCTAGAGGGCTTTTGTTGGGACCTCTAGGGGATATTTTTGGGGAGAGTTTTGTATTCTAATCCTTAAACAATTATTAGTGAATTACCCACATTTGAGTGGAAGACTGGACGTAGTCCTTAGTGGTGAACCAGTATAATTTGCTGTGTCGTTATTCTTGTGCTTTTACAGTTTTCTTCCTATTTTCATATATTTTGGTTGTGTTTAGATATTTCTGTGAAAGAGAAAATTATTCAAGGTCTTCAATTTTCCAACAAGATGGAGTATTCAATTGATGCATGGGACCCTTCACAACATTCTGTGTTTTTTTCCTGCCATTACAGAGTGATGTAGCAGTGTCTGAAATACGCTTTAGACATGGTGTCAGATATCCGACACATATCGGGGGCCTTTATAAGGTGCACTCGGCTCTGGTCTAGTGAGCTCTACCTACCTGCTTCTAGGTTGATGAAATCCGACGCATCCTTATAATAATTCCACACGTGGCGCGCGACAGCTTCACCTCAACGGATTTTTATTGGTTAAAGTACAGTAAATATTTAATCGGTTGACAATAACAAGGAGGTATTCTTTGAGGGAAAAAAATGGCTAAGGAGGTGGACAAATTATAGAACGGCCGCCATTCGATGTAAATAAGGCATGAAAAAATCAAATCAATTGTATATTTATGTATGATAAACTCTGTTTTATAAGTGACATATGTGATAGAGTGCTGCCGGCAAGCTTAGTTTCTTCCTAGGAAACTCAGATTGTCCTACATTTATCTATTTAATTATTTATAATAATCAAACAGTAGAGAAATACAAATCACTCCATTAGTTATTTGGGTAATAATTTAATGGTTTAAATCTTATTTTAGTCCACCCTTTTCATAGATGTGTCTAATTTATTCAGTTAAACCATTGAATAATCTAAAGAAGTGAAATATTCGAATCTCCATCACCATATTTATATTGTTATATTTTGAAAGACATTTATATTAATGTTGTTAAGAATCTCACATTGAAAAGAGAATGAAACCTTACATCGATTTATAATAGACATGAATTACTTCTCTCATCCCTAATTGGTTTTGAGATGAAATGAACATTGATATGGTATCAGAGTCTAAAAAACTCAAACGAACATCCGATCTAAAAATGTCATATCATTTTTCTTCGTAGATGACATGAAGAGTATGGACAAAAGTTCAAGTAGATCAAAATGAATAGAAACAAAAGTTTACAAACATGAAAACTATAATTCAACCATTACAAAACAAAAGGTATCAGAAAAAAAACAAAGTTTAATGTAGCATGTAGTGTATATATATAGCAATAAGGTAGGGGTGTTTCTATATCCAAGCGTAATATCTCTATTATATATCTCTCCCAGCTACAAAATGCAGAAGATTTTTTGGTGGACAATTTTTGTGATAGGTTGGATTGTCATTATTTCTAAAGCTGAGGAAGAGTTGAGTGTGGGATTCTATAGTAAGACATGCCCTTCTGCAGAACGAATTGTGAGAACTTCTGTTGCAAAAGCTGTAGCTCAAGATCCTGGCCAAGCTGCTGGCATCATTCGATTGCATTTTCATGATTGCATTGTTGGGGTATGTTCTTAGATATGGTTTCTTTTTTATGGTCCCTTCGATTGTTTCTAGTTTTCTTAAAAAATCTTAACATTTTTTACTTATGTGTGTTTCTCGTTTCTCTTTTTTTGGAACACTATATATTCTCAAAACTTTATAGAAATTTTGGAAACAACTAAAACGAATTTTTTTTTCTTGTTCTGGTTCCCATTCCAATTTGTTTCAAAACATTAATAAAATTATTGTTTTACCATACTTGAATTAATGGACGTTAGAGCAATGAAATTAATTTTACTTTATTAAAAATGAGGAAACAGAAATAAGAAATAAGAATGTTATCAAGTGAACCTTTTTTTTTTCCTTTCTTCTTCTTCTTCTCGATATCGTGTATGTTTTGATGGTCATAAAAATTAGACCCTTAAATTCTTAATAGTAAAAATTAAAGCCTCAAGCTTCATAAAACTAGATCTATTTAATTACTCTGTCTAATTTTTTTAATCATAATTTTAAGATCCAGCATTCTAATTACTAAATTTCTTGCCATTCACTGTATATAAAATTTATGTTAAAGTTTTTCAAATAGACCTCAAAAAAGTAGAAGATTAGTTAATGATAACTACACCCTAAGTACTCATTTATGATATAGGTCTCATGGTTTTGCTTTTGGTTTCATCAAATACCTCATATACCACTCTCTAATATATCTATGATCACTCATTTTCTTAACCAATGTTGAACTTTATTTGTATTTCACTTGCAAACCTAACAGAGAGAGAAAAAAACATTTTGAAAGTTGAAAGTATATTAGCTAAAATAACAAAATTAGTAATTAATTAAACTATATTAGTATAATGTCCGTATAGTAGTACAGAATGTTTGTTACGAAAATGTGGATTCATCCTTGGTGTGGATTCTGAACTATCACAGGGATGCGACGGCTCCATACTTCTGGACTCGATCCCCGGCGTGAACAGCGACTTCGACATGGAGAGGCACAGTCCAGGAAAGCCATTACTCCGCGGCTTCCAAATAATCGACGACGCCAAATCCAAACTCGAATCCCGTTGCCCACAAACCGTTTCCTGCGCCGACATTCTCGCCTTCGCCGCCCGCGACAGCGTCCTCGCCACCGGCGCCTTCTCCTACGCCGTCCCCGCCGGCCGCCGCGACGGCCGAGTCTCCAACGGCTCTGCCGTGTTCGCCAACGTCCCCCCGATCACGCCAAACATCACCCTCCTCAAACACCACTTCGAATCCAGAGGCCTCTCGCTGCAGGACATGGTGGCCCTCTCCGGCGCCCACTCCGTCGGATTCGCGCCGTGCGGGGCCTTCGCCGGCCGCCTCTACTTCTTCAACGCCACGGTGGAGACGGACCCGTCGCTGGATCCCGAATTTGCGGCGTTTTTGAAGTCCAAGTGCCCGAAAGGGAGGTTCGACGGGACGGCGGATCTCGACAACGTGACGCCGGATCGGCTGGACGTTCAGTACTATGTGAATTTGAAGAGGAAGATGGGGGTTTTGAGCTCCGATCAGGCGATGGAGAGCGACCCGTTGACGGCGGCGGCGGTGAGGAGGTATCGGAATAGCCGGAGCCTTTGGATGGCGGACTTTGCGACGGCGATGGTGAAGGTGGGAAAGATGAAGGTTCTCGCGGGAACTCAAGGGGAGATTAGAACCAACTGCAGTGCTTTGAATTAAGATCATTTTGGTTTTGATTGTGAGTAATTATTATTATTATTATTATTATTTTGAGTTTAGCATCGACAAGAGGAGAGACTCAAATCGGGATATATGTCTGAGTTATGCTCAGGTTCAGGTTGGTTAGGTTGCACTTTATAATTCGATTGAGAAAAATGATATTAAAATATAAATGAATCAACGAAAAATATCTAATGCACTTATTTTTTTGCTGCCATATGTTGAGAAAGAAATTGTCAAATTTGACTTAAAAAGTGTTATTCTTGATTGGTGAGAGGCCTCTTTTTGTTAGTTAGTTCTATCATTTTTAAAATCTCCCATTTTTCCTCAATGTAACCTGTAAAATTTTAAAATTGGGCGGTATTTTTCTTTGACGACTTAATAATCAAATTTGTCTCCATAACTCAACTATGATAAAATACAAAAATCTTTCATGAGGTGACGATATAGTTTAGATCTCATATAATTAGATGATGGTCAGAATACATATTACACATCACTCGATCATAAAAAAAAATGAAAAAGAAAAAAAAAGAAGAAGAAAAGAAAAAGAATATGATTACAACGTACTCAAAAAGAAAATGAAAACATTAGGATTAAATGAGATCTTGTTAAGAATTTTCTTTTTAACGTATTTGAGATTGTAGATGTCATACAATTTGAAACTTACGATGATTAAAATAAATGATTTTTTTTCTGAAAAAAACATCAAATTATAAAGAGTTCAACAAGTCTTATTATAATCAAGTGTATTATGTTAAAAGGAAAATAGTACTTTGCTTCCACTACTAATAACCAATCTTATTCTCGTTTATGCTTCAACTCCAGAAATATAAAAGTAAAGATTTTTTTTTTAAATAATGAGTTGTCAATTTTTCAATAATGGTAAGGAATAGATTTAGTCTCACGGCTAAAAACAACAAGTATTTTTCTATGTGTAAAAGGAGGATCGAATTTACAATATTTCTTCCTAATGAAAAGAAATTTAAAATTTAACGACTCCCAAATTTGAAATTATCATTGTAGTGAAAATTTTTCTACCAACACTAATCAGGCCACATAGAGAATTAGAAAAAGGAACTTTTTTTTATATCCGTATGTTCAGACCAACTTGCTGAAAAGGAAACATCTTGAAACATTGAATTTTTAAAGAAAGTGTTTTTTTTTTAATTACAAGTATTTCAAAGATAAAAAAGGGTTTGATCCTTCATATTGTCATGATATTGATGTGGTTTTGGGGTTTCCATAAACTTTAATTAAATGCTGATCATAAACAAAATCGAATGGGACAGACATTCGATGTAATTAAAGTTTGTTTTTGTTCTCCCAATTTAATTCCTTCGCGGAACCTCCTTTGTCCATTTTTTTTGGCACCATTATTCTTATCGAATGTTCTTCGGAAATTTCAGAGTTTGTGTCAATTTTGTTTCTATATTTACTCAATTCTGAAGGTTTCGAGTTGCTGGGTAGAAGTATAAATTTTCGTAAAAAATTGGCAAAATTAAATTCAAGTAAGGCATAAGATTGACTATTAAATAACCCTATCTCTAAAACTTAAAAATTTAATAATAATAACCTAGCTCTAATATCATTTTTCTCAAAAGTTCCATTGTTTGGTACTATCTATGTTTCAATAATTCATTAAAACCAGTGAGAATTTTTTTTAACAATTTTATAATTCATTAAACTCACCTGAAAATAATAGTTTAAATTGTTCTGGTTGGTTTTAATAAAGGTATTTTTGCTTAATTTTTCTTGATCTAATCCAGCACTTAACTCTGATTAATAAGTTTGGGTCGGTGAGATTTGAATGATTAATTGTTAGCATTATCAATCATTTGTTTGTGTAATTAGTCTTTTTTAATTTCATTAAAATGATGTTGCTCAATTCTTCCTTAATCCAAACCAAACCAAATCAAAAAAAGAAGAAAAAAAAAATGATCATGTGATCATTTTGTTTTGTTAAAATTTAAAGGGCAATAAGCAAATTTGAGGACTAAAATAAAATGACCTAGAGTTTTTATTCCCACGTCAATTTTTTATTTTCTATTATTTTTTTATTTTATGGATCAAATTTTAAACAAGATTAAATTTTAGCATTCAAAAACTGTATTTTAGCCCATGTTAAATAACTACTCACCTAAATTTTTTTGATGTTTTCAATATCTTTCTCATCCTACTCAAACGTTACACGTATGTTTAAAACTATAAAAGTTTCGTCGATATAAACTTAGTTCAGTGGTAATTTCTGATTGAGAGGTCATGAGTTTGAATTAGCTCAGCGGTAATTTCTGATCGAGAGGTCATGAGTTTGAATTCCACTGCCCCATTTATTGTATTAAAAAAATATATAAAATTTTCAGCTTGTCTAATAATTTTTTAGAAATTAAAATCTTACCTAACAAAATTTGATTTTTAATACAATAATATGTGAGAATTTTTACACAATTAATACTTACTTAGGTGCATGGATGAAAACCCACAAGAATCAAGATCTAATTACCCTGAATATATTGATCAGCTTGATTAGTCTCAATACCTTTGTCAATACCCGAGCCGCTGCCATTAATATGCTGCAAAATCCAGCTCAAAGTCGGTTGTAAATAACCCTTTTACGGTTGGAAAGCCTTAAACCCCAAAACTGCTTTTTATAAACATCGAAACAGCACAATGATGCTGTCCCCGATGCCATGGCGCACTTCAGATGCAATAGCGCCCGCGTATGCACAGCAAGACAGCGCCACGACTCTGCCTCCTCGGCCCATGTGGCCTACAGCACCCCGCTTCCTTGTTTTCATCCCCGTTTCGATCCCGACTCATCCCCTAGCTCGTTCCGAGTCGTCTTGACTCCTCCAATCCCAACAATTAGTATTAGAAAAACTAACATAGTTTTTCTCACAGTATTTAAAATAATTAACTATAGTATGTTATTGTCCCCTATAAATCCTTCCCTACTTTACTTTTCCGATTTCACCAAAAAAGAAAAAAAAAATTCTCACTTACCCGTTCTCTCCAACCAATATGAAATTTTTGTTTGCCCATAACAAGTTAGAACTGTTCATATATATATAATTAATACGACAGACATTCGATGTAATTAAAGTTTGTTTTTATCTAATTCCTCCTAGGACACCCACCACCTTTGGCTCTGTCCTCGTTGAATGTCTCTTAATTTCCATGTCAAATTATGTTGGAGATCCACCTTCAAGACAACCTTTTTTAGAATATTCAAATAAAAAATTGGTGCCGGCTTCCTTTCCCCTGCTCCAGGAACTCGAGGTTATAAACTTTATATTCAAAGTTAAAATATTTTTGACATTTATTTTTTAGGATTCACGTCCATTGTTTTCTACACTTTTGAAACTTTTCATTTTTTTTGCTTGTCGGGGAATGCGAGTAATTAAAGTCCAGCATTATTGACTAAGATAAAAAATAAAGTTATATAGATAGGTACGATCTCCATTGATACGAGATCTTTTAAGTGAAATCAAAAGTAAAGTTGAGCGCTTTATATCCAAAAATATAGTTTAACTTAAGCTAATTAATGAGTTGTGAAAGTTGCACCAAAGCACATAATCTCCCACAAAACAATAAATCACACCATTCAACCCAAAGGTTGAGTTAATTAGTATAGGATAAATTTAATTCATATATATGAGATATCTGAACATTGTAACAATCTGTTTACATTATTTTATAAAAGAAATAAATTCATGTACAAAGACACATAATCTGATACAATCCAGCTAATAATATTGAAACAAAACCAAACAAGAAAATTAGGCCAAAAGCATAAGAACAAGAAAACCCTTAAAAACCCTTGTATATATATAGGCCTCCATTAGCATAAGCTAGCTCAAGGTGACCATAACTCTCATATCTCAATCTCTCTTCTGATTTCTCTAAGTTTAGCAACCAAGAAAATGAAGAGTGGGCGAAGAGCAATATTTGTAGCTCTATTAATGGCGATCAGCACAATAATAATGGAATCCACTGTGGTTTATGGTGAAGATCTGAAAGTAGGGTTTTACAGTGAAACATGTCCTTTAGCAGAGCACATAGTGAGAGCCACAGTGGCGAAGGCTGTTGCTGGAAACCCTGGCATGGCTGCTGGCCTTATTCGTATGCAGTTCCATGATTGTATTGTTCTAGTAAGCCACCTTTATTTCTCCTTCATCCTAATGAATTCTATATCGTTCATATCGTGTGACGGACAACTCCATATCGTTGTGTTTTAATATTTTTCAATTATATTATTTTTATTGATGGATGGTTAAATTTTGTGCTGATAATGTATCTTGGTATAATACTTAGTGAGTTGGTAACAGTCTAGGGCGCAAGAATTAGGTCATTTTTGAAGAACGAAAGTTTTCGAATTTCTCCTCCAAATTTCTAAGAATTTGGCACAAATTCAAACTTTTCCTCCCTTACCATAATTCATCTTCTAAATTTCTGTTAGCTCACTACAGAATCGTATTATGAACCAATTTTTAATATTGACAAAAAAAACTATAATTATTATAATGTTAAAACATGAGACTAATCACACACAAACACTAAGAAAGTAAGAAAACAAAATTTAAAACACAAGACACTGATAAAATTGAAAGTTTTAAACACAATTGGAACTTAAATGGAAAAGATAACACACAAACACTAAGAAACACGTATATTTAGACATTTCTGGCATTGTTCGGTAATTAGGGTTTGTCGCACATAATTATGAGTAATATTTAGGTGATAGACCAGTTAGAATATATCTCTTGCTGAGCACCATTAAGTTTTTGACATATAAAGAGAAAGAAATATAGAAAAAGAGATACCTTTTCCATTTATGAAAAATCAAAGAGTTACTCAATTTGCGTAGAGGCTAATGATCATGAGTAAGCACGCAAATATTGTTCCCATATTATTTTCTTTCAATATATGAAACCTTCCTAATGACAGGGTTGCGACGGTTCTATACTTCTAGACTCGACACCAGAGAATCCTGAATCCGAGAAAGACAGTCCTAGCAACCCTTTATTGCGTGGCTTCGAAATCATCGATGATGCCAAAGCTCAGATCGAAGCTCGATGTCCCCAAACAGTTTCCTGCGCCGATATCTTAGCCTTCGCAGCTCGCGACAGCGTAGCCACTGTTGGCCAATTCACCTACGCTGTGCCAGGCGGCCGCCGCGACTCACTTGTCTCCCATGGCCCAAACGTTTCCGACAACGTCCCTTTCCCGACATCCGACATCGAATTTCTCAAACAACACTTCCAAGAACGAGGGTTGTCCCTAAGAGACATGGTGGCTCTCTCCGGCGCCCACTCCATCGGCGTTGCCCCTTGCGCGGCCTTCTCCGGCCGCCTCTTCTTCTTCAACGGCACAGAGAACAGCACTGACCCATCAATGGATCCAAAATTTGCGGAGTTTTTGAAAACCAAGTGCCCGGAGGAAGATGGTGGGTTGAGCAGAACGGCGGATCTGGACAACGTGACGCCGAATCAGCTCGACGTTCAGTTTTTCGAGAATTTGAAGAACAAGATGGGGGTTTTGTCGTCGGATCAGGCGCTGGCGAGTGACCCTCTGACGGCGGCGACGGTGAGGAGATACCGGAGAAATAGGGCGGTGTGGATGAGAGATTTCTCGGCGGCGATGGTGAAGATGGGGAAGCTGCAGGTTTTGACTGGAACTCAAGGGGAGATAAGAAGGAACTGCCATGTTCGGAACTAGGGCTTCTTCCTTCGCCCAACGCCGTTGCTATTCAAGATCTATGGTTTATACACTTTCATTTAATTTCTATTTAATCACTTCCTTTGTATGTAATTTTGTTTAGTTTTGTGGTTGATTTCAATAAAGGATATTTGTTCCTTAATCCAACCACTACACACTCTGATTACTATATGTAATTAGTTTTGGGTTTGTTGGGCAATCATTTTGTTTTTAATTTTTAACTTTTAAAATTTTTGCTTGTTTTTTCATTAATGTTTTACTTTAACTCGAAAACATATTTGAGTTCCCAGCAAAATTTCAAAAACAAAAATTACTTTTTGAAAACTACTTTATTTTGTATTTTTTTTTTCAAAATTGAAATAACAAAGCGAAGAATACTGTGACGCTCGAGTAGAAAGGAGTGTACATGAATGAATCGATACCATACCACCGAAATGTGAGGTATCATGAGATTATGGAAGAATGGTCAAGAAAAGCTTAAAAAAATTGATACTCATTACCTATACTAACAAGGTGCATATTCTTTTTTGGTAATTCAATCGTAACAACTCTAAAGTTAAGCGTGCTTGACACGGAGCAATCTCTTTTAAGTAGCTCAGAACTAGAAGACCTTCATTTTCAGTAACTCAATTGTAAAAACTCCAAAGTTAAGTATGCTTGACATGAAGCAATCTCTTCTAAGTAGCTTAGAACTAGACAGTGGCACAGCTGGGTCGCAGGGGGATGCCGAGACAATTAGGACCAAATCTAGATTTCGAATCTTGGGTTTGGGGCGTTACAAACACATAACTTTGGATATCCCATAACGGTAGCCAAGTATTTTTCTATTTAATTTAAGGTACATTCTACGCTAATATTGCCGATTTATGTTGACGTGGTTATAGAGTAGCTTTCCTATACTAGTTAAAGCTTTTTTTAGGTACAATATGTTGGGAAGGAGATTCGAACTCACAACTTCTTGATTGGAGGTATATGTCAATTACCGTTGAACTATGCAAAAACCTCCGACATATAAATGCTATGCTACAGACATTATATTCGATGTAATTAAAGTTTGTTTTTGTCCCCCAAATTTAATCATTTTTTCGAGGACACCACCCTTGTCCTCATTCGATCCTGTTTCAAATTCCATGTCAAATTGTGATGGAGATCCACGCCTAAAATAATATTTCCTTTTAGAATGTTAAAATAAAAACTTGGTCACAGGAACCTCAGAATAAATTTATTAATTTTGATTTTTACTCCACCAAGCGAATCCAACAAAGTTGAAGGTTATTTCTCCCACCTCATAGTTGTTGAACTCAACAAAATTAATTTTTATTTAACACTATCTATCAGATATATATGTTAAATTATTAATATTCACGAGGTTTCATCTCAAAATCAATTGACAATAAAAAAATAGTCATATATTTTAATGATAAGCACTGTTAAATCTCTTAATCTTTTTGATGTGGGACCCTTAACATAAAGAGAGCAAAAAAAAACCAATAGATGAGAAGTAGTCCACTTATGTTATAAACCATTGTTTAGGTCTCTTATATTTACAATGTGAGATTCTTAACATGCCCCAATATGATGGCTCTTTTGGTTCATCAATCTTAACCGGATCTCAGTTTTTGAAATCGTATGCTCGTTTGAGTTTCTTGGAGTCTAATACTTTATTAATATTCATAGAGTCCATTTGATAAGAAATTCACAATGAGAGGAGTAACTCGTTTATATTATAACTCTTGTTAGGTCATTTATCTTTTCAACGTGTAATCCTTAACAGGTTTGGTGTTATTAGGTTTAGAAAAGGACAAAAAGTTTGCAAAATAATATTATATGATATGATCCAAGCTCAGTTTAGAATATCGAATACAAACAACATGAGAAAAGGCCATATAAGGCACAAGAACAAGAAAACCCTCAACTTTTTAAGTTTAGAATAAACCCTACACCTCAAGATCACCAATCCATCTCCCTCTCTCTCCTCTTCTCTCTCTAAAGTTTAATTAGCAACCAAGAAAATGAAGAGTAATTTGGGAGGAGAATTAGCAATATTTGTAGCTCTATTAATGGTGATCAGCACAATAATAATGGGATCCACAGTGGTTTATGGTGAAGATTTGGAAGTAGGGTTTTACAATGAAAGATGTCCTTTGGCAGAAGGCATAGTGAGAGCCACAGTGGCAAAGGCTGTTGCTCGAAACCCTGGCATGGCTGCTGGCCTTATTCGTCTGCATTTCCATGATTGTATTGTTCTAGTAAGTCCCATTACTCCTCTATATTATATTATACTTATCCATCAACTTTAATTTTAATGAAATATAATATTGACATGGCATCAGTGTCTGATTCATAAATTTATGTCATAGGATGCAAAATCACTCCGATCACTTTTTATTCGATTTTGAGATCCATCTACAAGTTTTGAAATGACTATTAGGTTCACTTATCACTCTTGTTTCCTTATTTTTAATAAAGAAAAATAGAATTGTATAACTCCTACCACCTTTGAATTCAAAAGGATAAAACAAGATATTTATTTATATTGAAATAAATTAGAAACAAAATCAAGAAACTTGCTTTTATTATTTCATGAAATTAAAAATGAGAAATAAGAGATGGGGCCTCAATTTGCAGCAAAAATTTTGTTCCATGTTTGAAAATTGACGAGAAATGGCAGGGCTGTGATGCATCCATACTACTCGACAAATCGCCCCAAAATCCAGATTCCGAGAAAGACAATTTGGCCAACCCTTTACTCCGCGGCTTCGAAATCGTCGACGACGCCAAAGCCGAAATCGAAGCTCAATGTCCGCACACAGTTTCCTGCGCCGACGTCTTAGCCTTCGCAGCACGTGACAGCGTCGCCGCCGTCGGCGGCTTCACCTACGCCGTCCCGGGCGGCCGCCGCGACTCCCTCGTCTCCCACGGCCGCGACGTTGACGGCAACGTCCCTCCGCCGCTACCCGACATTCCGTTTCTGAAACGACACTTCGAACAACGAGGGCTGTCGTTGAACGACATGGTGGCTCTCTCCGGGGCCCACTCCATCGGCGTCGCCCCCTGCGCCGCCTTCTTCGACCGGCTCTATTTTTTCAACGACACCAAGTTCCGAACGGATCCGTCGTTGGACCCGAAGTTTGCAGCTTTTTTGAAAACGAAGTGCCCCTTTGGAGAAACGGATTCGGGTGGAGGAATAATTAGAACGGCAAATTTGGACAATACGACGCCGGATCGGTTGGATGTTCAGTACTTTGAGAATCTGAAGAATCATATGGGGGTTTTGTCGTCGGATCAGGCGCTGGAGAGTGACCCTCTCACGGCGGCGACGGTGAGGAGATACCGGAATGATAGGGCTGCGTGGATGAAGGATTTTGCGGTGGCGATGGTGAAGATGGGGAAGCTGAAGGTTCTGACGGTAGCTCAAGGGGAGATCAGAAGGAACTGTCGTGTTGTGAATTAATCACTTTCTATGTATCTTGTAAATAGTTTAATTTGCCGCTAGATTTCAATGAATGATATCGTTGTAAACTTGAGTTTAGTTCAATCGTTAAAAGCATATATATCTACGGTCCATTGTTCGAATTCTCATTCGCATGCATGTTGAACTAGACAAGAGTGATATTGCTGAATTTTCTGACCACTAAATTCTTATTAATTTAGCTATTTGATAAGTGTTTTAGAGTTAAACTATTAATTAATGTTTAACAAATTTAAAATGTTTGAGTTGGTGGTTTAATTTCTTTTTAAAAGAAAAGGAAACCTTGTAGAAGTGAGAGTTTTGTTGTTAACAACGTTAGAAAGAATTTTCAGCTGACAAAAAGAGTTAGGCCATTTATTTACCCTAATCAAGAAATTATAATGAAAATTTTGATTATTTTGATGGTGTTGCATGAATGTAATCAAATGGTGGGACCCTCAAACTTTGTAATCCCATTACATAAAAACGTCTAATCTCATTACATTCCTACAGCCCCATTAATCTCATTCTCATTCCTTATTCTGGAACCTCACATATATATTATAATTAATGTACAACTTTTACCATTTGTCTCTCATCTATGGATTAGGTCCATATAACTTTTAATTAGTTTTTTTTTTATATTTTTATAATTTATTCGCCATTTATACTCCAATTTTAATTAGTTTATGTGATTGATAAATTAATATTAATTAATATCAATAAATTTTTTTAAATAGATATTATTACTTTTAAATATTAGAATAATAAAACTTAATAATATGTTATGTTAAAGTTTGGTTGTTCTAATAAAAATTATTTTATTTGATGTAATTTTATTTTAATTATTCAATTATGTATTAATATTAGATAAATTGTTATAATAAAAAATATTTACTAGCAATAATATAGTAATAAATTAAATTAAAATTTATTATTATTGTAATTTAAAAAAGATTAGCACAATAATATATTTGTAATTAGCTAAAAAGGAGAAAGAGGTATATTAGTAATTGTCATATATCTTATTCCGATTCCGATTCCGATTCCAGACAGTTTTAATCAACAACATCAAAGGAATTCTGATTACGATTTCAGAAAATTTCTGCTAAACAACATCAATGGAATAATATTACGATTCCGATTGATTTGCATTACGATTGCGGATAAGTAAACGTGGCCTTAGGATGAATTGCTCACCAAGTTTAAGCGTACGCGATTTTATTTTTAGTTTATATTAACGGAAACATGCATTCGTTCACATTTCTCAACACAAAGTGCGTACTACAAGAATTCGGAGTTTCGGCGACGACAATTTTCTTCGCTAAAAGGTCAAATTTCGTCCCCGAAAGTCTTTGGCGACGAAACAAAGTTGTCGCCTAAATCGTCGCCGTTGCCCGGTCGCCAGAGGGTTTTGGCGACGATTTATATTTTTCGGCGACCAAATTCAAAGTCGTTGTCGAAGGTGTCTTCGGCGACCAAATCTGTTTTCGTCTCGAAGGTATCTGACCTTCGGCGACCAAATCCTTTTTAGTCTCCGAATGGTTTTTTATTTTTTTATTTTTTTTCAACAATAAACATTGCCATACATTGAATTTAATATAAAACTTATAATATTAAATAAAATTTAGTTTTACAAAAAATACAAGAAGTTCATACAAACAAAAATTAAACGAATTCTAAGAAGTCTCAAATAAAAAACCTAAACATATGAAAATATCTCATATCATCAAATTCTTCACGAGAGATAATCAACTTTTCAGAAGCTTTCGATACAGAAATCGAACGAACCTGAAAAAATAAATAACAAATAAACTTATGTTAACAAATACTTCCACAAGTTAACTCACCACTTCAATTCAAACAAACTTTCAATTCTAACTCATTCCACGTAACAAACTAATTGCACATGCCATGAACTAAAAATGTTATTCAAGCGTTGCATATGCATGAACTCAAACTAAGCATTAAAAGTTAACAAAAACTCATGAAAACAATTTTCAATTTAAAAAAATTTACTCTCACCGAGTCTAAAAAACATTCACATAAACTCTATCACAATTCACTTAAAATTCAACAACGTTATCCAAAAACACTTAATAACGCCCCCTCCAACACTCTCATATAATTAAAGCCAATAAAAACTCTCCCGAACAAACTTAAAATACACAAAACTTAGTCTCACTATCAAAACACACACACAACTCTCTCATGTCCATATAACTCTCATTAACTTCAATCCAAATTATACAAACTAAAGGAGAGGTGTGTATAAAACCCCACAAAATTAAGAAAAACTCATCTTCAAACTTCAAATTTTTAAAACTTACTTTTATTATGTAAAACATCCACAATCACCAATTCATTTCACAGACTCAACAAAATCATCCAAAACCACATTATACATAAGCGTAGCTAAATTATACATGACATATGTTCTAAATGGCTACCATAACTGCAGGATAGCCACATTTACAGTTATTGAATTCCAACAACACTATATTGTCGATTATGAGTGTTGTAGTTAAAAATAGAAGAGTTTGAAAGTATTACGAGACTTTAGATATATTCCTAAGATCTAGCCACTAAAAAAAGAAATAAAATATACTTAGAGAGGTCATCTAAAAATCTAGACCAACATCGGTCACAACCAACATAATAATCATTCATAATTCATTATAAATTCAAAACTAACAAAATAAAATCACGAAGAATACATATAAATGAAACAATCATGTGCACAAACATCGACTAATTTAAGTATAAATAAAAAAATCATACTTACAAACCCAATAAATTAAATCAAACAAACAAGACTTCAACACTTACAACCAAAAAAAGTATGTCAAAATCAAACAAATAACTTTTATATTTTCTCCAATAACTCATATAAATCATCAACTACTATACAAAATATAACTTAAGAAATTGTTCAAGATTACAATATAATTCACAATTTCTCACATAGCATTCACAACCAAATATAATTCAAAAATTTCTCAAATAACTCAAGCTTGTGTTCAAGATTTTAAAAACAAAATAACATAAATAAATATAATTTAATATAAAAAAATTAACATAAATAAAGTGAAAAAAAAACCTTAGAAGGCCAAGGCGGTGGCGGCGGGCGTGCAACGGTGGGCGGGCAGCAACTGGGAACAACGGACGGCGGTGCAGTGGTAGCGGGCGGCGGAACCGAATACGAAGGAGGTATCGGAGGCGGTAGGCGGGGGTGGTGCGACGGAATCTGAGGTAGACGGCGTGGGGTCGAGGCGGCGGTGGCGAACGTAAATCTGAGAATCGGGGGAGGGGCGGCGCGAAAGAGATGAGAGAAAGAGAAGAGAAATGGAGAAATGGGRAAGAAGAGGGATTTTTTAGGGCACCTTTCAGCGACGATTTTAAAGTAGTCGCCGAAGGTCCTAATTTGGTGGCCGAAAGGTAATTCAAATATACCTTTTGGCGACGAAATCCTGATTTCGTCGCCGGAAAGGCCCGCCAAAAACATGAAATAAATTACTTTCGGCAACGAAATGGAGATTTGGTCGCCGAAACCTTGACTTTCGGCGACGAAACGTACTGTCAATCCAGAACCTTCATCAAGCTTCTGGAACGTGCTTTCGGCGACGAAGGTGTTTGTTCGTAGCTGAAAGTCCCGCCGTCGGCGGCGATTTTATAAAATCGTCGTCGAAGGTCCTGCCATCGGCAACGAAATTAGGTGTAGTCACCGAAAGCTGTTACTTTCGGCGACCATATAAGATTTCGTCGCCGAAAGCCAGACCTTCGGCGACGAAAGTTCGTTTGGTCGCCGAAAGATACTTTCGGCGACTAAATTTGATTTGGTCGCCGAATCTCAGATTTCTTGTAGCGTTTTCAGTACTTTTGGTAATTTCAAGTCAATTTGTTAATATTTATGGGATTCCATTCTTTATAAGGTCCATTCTCAAGATCGTGGCTCTTACTAATCATGATTTAATTCTTTTTTTTTTTTTTGGGATCAAATGCTTATTTGAGATTTTTTTTACTCTAATAATACCTTATTACTATTCATGGTGTTCGATCTGATCAAAACTAATTGTCATTGTGAGAGAAATAACTCATGTCTATTATAAATCTTTTTGTAAGATTATTTTCTTTTCAACATGGATTCCTTTGACCTCCCGCTCTGATGTCATGTTAATGGTGAATAAAGCACCACTCAACCGAAAACCTTAAATGGATGAGTTTGGTGAATTTAATTAAATACATAGATATCTTAACATAACTTTCATAAAGATTCAAAAAATGCTTCCTTTGAAAGGTGTTCCTATTTGGACAAAACGGTGAGTCACATGGTATCTTATGAAGGAGAAATTATTTGAGAAAGTCGAAACAATATGACTGATATAGTTTTATGTATGAGAAAGAAATTACGCAAAGCGTATTTCAAAACTATATTTTTGGAGCTATATACATCGTGGTAGTCTCATTCAATCATTTTTTTTTTTGAAGAGATTGATTAGGTTGAAAAGATCCCTAAAATGAGTCTAATCCAAATACATTATTAAGTTTTAATTGATCTAAGGGTCGTTCACAAGAAAAGCCTCTTCAAACTTTAGCGGATAATTAGGAAATTTGTTATTTCTAAGATGCGTCGCTTCCTTTCCTACGTATTAGGAAAACTAGAGCGAAAACAAATACACAAATAACATTCCTTCTTTAAGTTATCTTAATATAGTTATTAGAAATTAAATATGATTTAAGATAATGCAACTACATAATTCCTAAATATTATTGCTTTTTTTTTATCCAAAGTCATAAAATCTGCCGAAAATAAACAAATAATAAAAAGATCCATTGTTGAGAAGTACTAAAATATTGAAATTGAACCAGAAAATCAATCCATCCAACCATTCAAATAATAACACTTAAACAACCTTGAGTCTAGATTAAAGTATATATTCTCAACTAAAACGTCACAAGTTTAAATCTTCATTCCACATCTTATTAAACTCAAAATAAATTAAAAATTTTGAATTAAATAATATCATAATATTTAAGAAGATGGGATACTATCGTTAAACGAAGATAATATAGCAACAAAATAATATAAATACTTTAGCCCATGGGATTAACAAACTATGGGCAGACAACTAGATAATTAGATAATTTTAATTGAATGGAAAAAAATTAATTAATTAACATTTATTTTAAAGTTTTTAAATTTAACTTAAATTTATAAAAAATAAAATAAAAGCCTAATGGAACAATTTAGTCCTTATTTAACCCATCCGAGGTCCTGACTTGTCTAGTCTATCCCATTCAATACCGTAACTAACTTCACCATAACAAAAATTTTATAGTGATTTAATGAATATGTTATATCAGAATTTTTTTTAAGTTAATTACAAGTTTAGTCTCTTTTAACGTTTAATAAATATTGTGTTTAATATAGGATTAAAAGTTTATGGCTCTATCAGACAACAAAATTTAATTTTGTCTATATCTATAATTTTAGAAAAATGTAGAATAGGTCAATTATTTTATACATAGGTCGTGTATTTGAAATTTTAACTTCTTTTTTTATATGAATGAGTATTGAGTTGTCCTTGTCCTTAAATTGGTATATATATTATTAATATATTTAGTTGTATCCCAAGAGGGATGAGTGGAAGCATTTGTTTTAAGTAATTGTAATTTTTAATGATGCAATTTCCTCACGAGGGACGACACCTGAATGATGTTGGTCATTGATCGAAATCGTAAGTGACTGTCATTATAACTACAATGACGATAATACCCGTCATTATCAGATTTAATGTCAAGACGGTTTTCTTTTAATGGGGAGCAACCCCAAATTTATAGTAGTGAAAGCATAAAGATAACTTTTAAGAGTTAAAATTAAATTACTAATCAGACATAATACTCGATTAAATCTACACTCAATACGCATAAATGCTTTCATTATTCAACTACAAAATATCATACATGAAAAACTTACAAAAAAGACACAAAAGAAACAAGTATAAAATCTACACTCTCAGAACTCAGAAGTAAATTAAATCATGAACTCAAACAAACATGAAAACATATAATAAACGTAAACCAGTGGGGACAAGAATAAAGTTTCTGAGATCAATTCACAGCGCTGCAATGGCGCCTAATCTCGCCCTCCGATCCAGTGAGAACCTCGATGGAACCCATTTTAACCATTGCCTTCCCAAATTTGACAGCCCATATGGAACCGTTCTTGGCATAATTCAACACTGTTTTTTTGGTGGAAGGGCTGCTCAGCAATATCTGATCGGAGCTCAGCAGCCCACGGTGGTTCGTCAGCCCGATATAGTATTCGTTGTCGAGACGATTCGGGGTGGAAAAGTCGAGCGCCACCTCCGACTGCTGATAGTTCCGGCCGCTGCTCGGCGGCGGGCATTTGGTCTTCAAGTAAGCGGCATAGGAGGGGTCCATGGAGGGGTCTTGTGGGTGAGTTGCGTTGAAGAAATAGAGCCGCCGGGAGAAGGTGTGGCACTGAGCTCCTCCGATGGAGTGGGCGCCGGAGAGCGTCACCATCTCTGCCACCGATAGCCCTCCCTTGGCAAAGCTCTTGGTGAGCTGCTCGACGGTGAAGGAGGGAGGAGGGAGACGTCCAGCTTCTTTCTTTATCGAGATGCGGCCGTCACGACGACCCGCTGGCACAACATAGTTAATACCTGAATATGACATAAACGTGCTAGACTTAAGATTTTGGGTTGGGTAGGAATTTATAAAGATAGAGAGATTTTGTGTTTAGTTCTAAAATTATTTTATTTCTATTTAATAACGATAACCGCCCTCGCATGATGTTACCGAATTTATACCTATGTACATGTTATCTTTTCAATAAATAAATAAAATTCGCTTAAACAATACCTCCAACTTTACGAGCGCTATCACGAGCAGCGAAAGCAAGAATGTCGGCACAAGATACAGTGTTGGGACAAATAGCCTCGAGATTAGTTTTAACTTCGTCAATAACCTCAAAACCTTGTAAGCTCGGGAAGTTAACCGGATGATCCCTCTCTGTTGGATTTCCAGGAGTGGATTTCAACAGCACAGAACCATCGCAACCCTACCATTATAAAGAGCGACTTAGAAATCAAAACTTCACTTTCTAATAAATTTTATTTAGGAAAAAATAAATATAAAACTTTTTAAACTTACCCTGATAAAGCAATCATGGAAGTGCATTCTAATGAGTCCAGCAGCGATGCCGGGATTTTGAGAAATGGCTTTGTTTACAACTCTCTTGACAATGGCCTCGGCATTAGGACAAGATGAACGGTAGAAACGCACTTCGAGGGTAGCAGAAGCGAGAACGGAGAGAGCGAGGAAGAAGACGACAGAGGAGAGCAATGAGAGAAGTTGGAAGTTGTGGGGAGAAGAAGCCATTGAAGCAAGATTAAAGAAACTTGGAGAAAACTGAGGATTTTTAAGGGTTACTACTATTTCTTTGTTTTTTGTTGGGTTTGAGAAGAAGATGGTATTATGGTAATGTATTTATAGTCTGTGGGTTCTTATGCAAATGGGACCTTTTTAATTCACTTTGGGAAAACAAAACCGTGTGTTGAAAGCTGTTGAGCAATAAGAAGCTCATGTGGTGAAGATCATCATGAAGTTTCCCAAAGTTTGAACACTGTTCTCTCATTTTCGTAAACAAATTGTTGTCTCGAGTTGGATATAGTTTCAATTTTATCTCTCTCTAATTTTAAAGGCTTTGATTTGATCTCATCCGTGGATTTGTGGCGCAATGGTAGGGAGTCTGACTCCAGATCAAAAGGTTGCGTGTTAGAGATTAAACTCAAACCGTTAAAATTAAAGTACTAAATTATAGCTAAGCTGAAATCAATAAAATCAATTCTGTAAGATAACTTGGAATATTTAAATAGGACAAAACTGGCCCTAGTGGGAGATTTAAAATAAGTTGTGCATTGTGTAAGGGAAATACCTGGGGCTGCATGGAGACCAAGTAGCAAGAGAGAGAAAAAAAAGAGGAGAGAGAGGGAGAGTCAAAGATTTAATTTTTTTTTATATTATCTTCGAGTAATTCTTTGGGCTCATCAATCTTGGTTGAATCCTATTTTTGGACAAGTTGTTCATTTGAGCGTTTTGGATTCTGATACCATATTAATATTCATGGAGTTCCATCTCAAAATCAATTGGCAACGAGAGATAATTCATGTTTATTATAAACTATTGTTAGGTCCCCTTTCTGTTCAATGTGGGATCTTTAACACTATTAACATAAATCATACGATATTGATTCCGAACAATTTTTTAAAAAATGGTACAAGGTGTAATATTTTCAAATGAAGAAACAATATGTATATAATAGTAAAACATTTACTTACAAACATTTGCATGTTGTTGTTGATAACCTTTTATTTAATTAATAAATCAAGTAGTTGCTTTATTTATATGGTATGATTATCCAAGTAAATTAATTAATCATTGTGTCCATGGCACACCAAAAACCAATTTGAACTCTTTCTATTATTCCTTTTTTTTTAATTGGGCTCTTTTTTTATTTTTAAAATTTGATTGCAAAGTGTTTTTAAAAAGTGAATAATTAAACCAATTAAATATTCAGTAGTTTTCATAATTAAAAAAAAAAAGAAAA